TGACCAGAAATTCAGGGCATAAAAGCAAGTGAGGACAATTGTGATTGCATAAACAAGGAAACCCAAAATAGGTCTCAACAGGAAGACCCGAGGCGAACCTCCCAAAAGACTGCAGGAGTCCTAAGGAAAGCAAACCAACCTAAAGTAAGGCTGGAAGGCCCCAGAGACTCTGAACCACAAAGCAGTGCAAGCAGTTAACATAAGCAGATTAAAGGCATAATGAAATATGTGCAAAGGAAAAGTAAGGATTCTATTACACGCCACCCCACTGGTGGAAAACTACTTCAGGCACGCAAGTCTATGAAAGATTTTTGTTAAATTGTCAGAATGTTTGGGATCATAAAATTAAGCATCAGATGGAGGTAGGACCGGAGCATCAGAAGCAGGGCCGCCTGGGGGATTTCTGAGTTTGCCATCACTTCTGGCAACCCCCAGGACTCAGCGGAGAAGAAGGGATCTCTTTCCAGCAGAGCTGCATAAATGGACTTCTGCATATCAAATCTTCCCAATTGGAAACATAAAGCCCCCTCCTCCGCCAATTTATCTTTCCCCTCAGGGATCGACAGCCATTCCAGCGCAATTTCAGCCCGGCGTTTGGTGATTACCTGTTCTAGGTCAGCCTTGAAGGCATCCCCGTTTATGAAGGACTGGATGGCTTCGCTCCTGACCTCGTGGATCTTCTTCCTCAAATCCTCCTCCTTGACCCGCCAAGATGACTCAATCGTAACATGGGCCACCATGGCGTCGTCCAACCTCTTCTTGACAACATCAACCTCTTTCTCAGCAGCTTCCCAGGTAACCTCTATAGCCTCAAACTTGACCTCCAGCTCGGCCAAAGCTTTGCGGTGCTCGTCAGAAGACCCCTGAGCTCCCTCCAGCTCCTGCTCTAGGTGGGTAGAACTGGAAGCCACCAGGATGAAGGCCTGAAATCAATTTCATATCATCAGGCACGAACACCAATTTCAAATAACACAAATCAGGAGTCATTAAAGAGAAAAAGAGCAAGATACCTTTGAAATGGCCCGAGCCGCCCGCTTTAAGGGCGTAGAGGAGGACATGCCTCCAAGCTCCTCCCTATCAATAGGGGAGTAACAGCCAGGGCCAGGGCTACCGGGTTGACAGTGTTGTTCAAGATAGAGGCGGAGTCGGAACACATGGTTAGACGGATCACGTGACGGGGAGCCGGAGTTTCCTCCTCATTGCCACCCCCGGAGGAGTGAGTATCAGAATCAGACTCAACCCCCACTACCGATGACACAACACCTCTCTCCGTCATCTTCAGCTTCTTCTTCTTGGCCGCAGGGATGGGTTGGAATGTCTGCCTCTTCGTGTCCCCCTAATCTGGGGAGGCCGGAGGTCTGCAGTCAGCTGGGCAAGAGTCGCAAACACGCCACGTTGGGCGGTTCCCCCTGAGCTATTCAATGAGGGTTCTCCTTGAGCCCCATCGTCTGCACCCTCCGAGCAGGAATCATGGACCCAGGGGTTGAACCCGCCTTCACCGCAAGTCTCTCCAGACGGGTGGCCATCTTATCATTTTCTGCAAACAACAAGTCTCGGTTAAAATCACACTAAATAAACCAGAGGGAAAGAAACTATGGGCCGAACAACCCGACCTGGAAAAAAATCAAACATCACAATGCCATTATCACCTACGTAATGCCCCATAAGGAATGGAGAGCCCTTGGCAACGAGCTGGGCAGCCAGTTCACTCCCCACCGACAAGACATGCATCACCCATCTTCGGATCATCTCCCCCACCGGTTCTCAAAGGGTAGCTTGCCATCCACCGGGGTAACCCAACCCCATTTATATCTCCAATCCTTGAAGAAGTCAGGATAAGATTTTGCATCGAACAGGCGGTGAAACTCGCGTTGGGCAATCACAACGTATCCTTGGGTATCAGAGGCACCAGATCTCACAGAGTGGAAAAAATTAAGGAAAATGTCCAGATAAGGTCTAACCTTCAGAGAAACACATCGGGTTATGAACCCGGCGATAAACATGTGGGTGGTGGGGGTAAATTGACCCGGAATAACACCATAATGCCGCGTTATATCGAGGAGAGCAGGGTGAAGGGGAAAGCGGAGACCCATCTCGAGACTGGCCAGGTGCACCCCAAAATGGAGCGGGGAAGGAGGTTCGACAATGTTCTGCCCCGGCGTAGGGCAAGATCAGACAACGGAAGTGTCACGCCCCAGACCGCATCCAAGCGCGTGTACAACCACCGTGTGATTAAGTGACGTCACTCACAAGTCAACCTCACATAATCACACAAGGCGTTCATGAACATCGTTCACACCATACTCAGTAGTAAACATACATAACAACATCACATCATAGATTGAATGAATAGCGGAAAATATTCAATGGTCAATCATAAGCCACATATGGCAAAACGTAGGCTCACAGGCCAAAACAATGTAATATTACAAAAGTATCCATGAGCATAGTTTATGATTTAAAATAGTAAAGGAACCACGAACCACGTCCTCCTATAGATTCCTTCCACCCGTGCAAAGGTGTAGACAACAGGCTCTAGCTTCAACTTGAAATGGTGGCCCCCCCGAAGGGGTCAGTACAAGTACCGAGCGAGTAGCAAGCTAAATGTAGAGTAACTAACGTTTCAAGTATAAGACCCAAACATAGGGTGATACATATACTTATACATCTTTACCCCAAGTTACAAAATACATATCGGTACTTATATACACTTGGACCTATAGACCTATGAGTGTATAGGACTCCTCCTATCCAAATCAAATAATCACAAGGACGCCACCCGATCCTTAATTACTAAACAGTAATCTATGAGTTTTGAGGATACCGCCCGATCCTTGGGTACTCCACCCTATATAACCGAGTTTTGAGGATACCGCCCGATCCTTGGGTACTCCACCCGACATAACCGAGTTTTGAGGACACCGCCCGATCCTTGGGTACTCCACCCGACATAACCGAGTTTTGAGGATACCGACCGATCCTTGGGTACTCCACCCGACACAACCGAGTTTTGAGGATACCGTCCGATCCTTGGGTACTCCACCCGATACAACCGAGTTTTGAGGATACCGCCCGATCCTTGGGTACTCCACCCGACCTATGATCTACCACATATCACACTAGATAGGGTCTATATCATAATCAATAAACAAGACTAATCCAAGTATTAAGGCCTAAGCAAATTCATCCATGCAATTCATGCATTGAAGATCAACATATAGACAACAAAACCAAACCGATGTTGGTTGCCCCTAAACAACCGGTCAACGCTCGGTTGACCCACTATTTCAAATCAAATATGTGTCAAACCTAATCACAACATGCATTCAATTATGAACAACCATATTATGCACCATCTATCTCCAAACATATCACATATATTTTTATAAACATTTTCATTTCACAAATCATGCATATTTTGATAGTTCATTTCATACAAGCTTTATTACTTTGGCTAATCACATGTTTAATCTCTTTTACACATCATCATGAACACATATAACATTTACTTAGGTAATCTCATGCTTAACTCAAAAGTTACAAGAGATTAAGCCATCCACTCACCTTAAATGAGCTTTAAGAAGATTCTACTCTTCTTAGTTGAACTCCGGCGAGACTCCGGCGAACTCTGGCGAAACTCCGACGAAACTCCGGCGAACTCGAGAAACACTTGAGTCAAGCCCCTAATATGGTTTTATCATCACAAAACTCATATCAATACAAATAACCTCTAAAAGGTTATTTTCCGGCGAACCGGTCGTTTTGGCTTCTAAGTCCGTTCTTGGACTTAGAACTACCTTCCAACCCTTCATTTTACACTTCTAAACACGTAGAATAATTCTAGGGGTCCTCCATATGATATATACCTCATATGGTAGAAGAAAAAGAAAAATGCTAGAAGTACAAGCACACTTACAAAAAAACTTACAAACAAGTGATGTGACTATTCTAATTACCATTGATGTAAAAGTGTTATAAAGGTGATGTGATGTGTTAAATAATGTGATGATGCCACATACCCCTTTTGTAAGACATTTTGTAAAAGTTTTTGTACCTCTAGCATAACTCGAAGAAAAATAAAGGAAAAGTTATAATAAGGTCATTACCTTAATCATCAAACTTTTCCCAACTTTTTCCCTCTTTGATCTTCCTCCTTTGAGCACTTATGCTTGAGCTCGAATTTGTAGCAATTGGGATGAGTTTGAAAGGTCCTCTTCTCTCCCTTGGATAGTTTGGCCGAGATAATGGGATGAGGGGGGTTGAAGTTGGCTCTTTTGTCTTGCTTGGACAATGAGTGGGGAGAAATGGGGTCCATGGGTACCTTTGATGCTCATCACCTCACCATCTTCTCTTACAAGTCAACCAGACCCTTTCCTTGTCTATACCAGCTCATAAAAACGTGGGGTGGCCCCCACTCACGTGGGAGGTCATCCCTTTGTGTCCCGAAATGTACAATCAGTCCCGAAAGTTGTATTTTTCGGACTGTTTTAATTATATTTTATTTTATCGGGTCAAATAAAGTATATTATGTGTTTCCCATCATTATGGACTCTTAGAACGAATATACATTCCTCATCTTTAATTTAGAAGTCTCCGAAATCCGTTTCGGTTTGTTATCAGATAAATTACCGATACCGGTAATTGGGCCTCGTTTGACCGACGGGTCAACCATATGCCCTTTCTATGGCCCAACTAAAATATCTACCACCATATACATATTATCTAGACCAAGATGAATATAATATGTGGTCCCGGGATTATCGGATGGTCCCCGCTCCCGATGCGGGCCCCATGTGCAATTTACTATTCACGCAAAAGTAATAACAAAATTTTTACAACCTCGTAAATTCATAAATCATTATTCAAGGTTTATTACATGGTTTACTAAAAGTAAATATATTCGGGGCCGGTATTGCCTTGTGTTTATTCGTCCACCAAAATCCTAACCTCACCCCACCCCCTTACGTTCCACTCACGTTCCGAAACTCCTAAAAGGAAAATCGCACAAAGCTCTCGTTCCATGATAATCCAAGCCTTTGCAATTTTAATTGCATTTGTATGGTTAGAGAGTATATTTAGCTTTAACAAACTCACCGTCGTCACCTCTTCCAACGCACCATATTCACGACTCTGCCAAATGGAGCATACCCTCGCTCCTCTCTTCCTCGCTGACGGCATCACCACGTGTCGAGGGAAAGAACGGTCGTGTCTTCACTTTAACTCCTTTCCGTTATGGTCTATGGAGGACTACTTACTGTGTTCTTCTGAGTTCATTCATCTATCTGCGACTATATATATGGCCAAAATCTTACAACTCTATCTCAAGAATCAGTTTTCTTTGAATGAATAAGTTGACAAGCTTGAGCCAGGGATCCATCAAAACGGCGCCACTTTGTTGATTCCATCACCGCTCCTTCTCGGATTCACTGATTCCCTGTCGAGTAAATTAGTCTCTGTTCTTCTGTTGACGAATTTCTGGTATATATATAGCACTGTTTTTGTTGCTGACTTGCTGTGTGTAGGGGAAAGCTGCGTTAGAAGATATACGGAGTTTATAGATTGCGAATTTGGAGTGAGAATGGGCTCGTCGGCGATCTCGTTGCGGTTGATGCCTGCATGCATGAGAGCTGGGCGGGGGGATGAGAGTGAGAAGGTGCCACTTCACTGTTCTTCGATTTCAAGGGGTTTGGTGAACACCGTTCGTACTCCTTTTGGGATTCATTTTCCCCGTTCGATATTTGTTGGCAGTGGAGTCTCTTCGCCGTTCTCATTGGGAAATGCTGCTCATATCCCCAGACGCAGCACATCCAGCATTGTTACTCACTCTGGTAATCTCCATCTCTGTTGCTTTGTTATGTGATATTGATGCTGTGTGATGTTGAGTTACTTGGGCTGGTTTGTTCAGAGTTAAATGCTGCCCTTCTCAATTACTTCGTTTTAGTTTTTTTGTGTGTGCGTTTTGAAAAGATTGATTTACTACTTGTTATATGATACAGCACATTCAGGAATCATTTAGGTTGAGTGTTTATAGCCTGTATTTCTGGAGAAAGAATAGTCATATATGGACTTAGTTTATCCATTCTGTTAAGCTTCCTTTTCCAGTGGTAAATTCTTTGTCTATCCAAAAGGTAACCATAATACTATCCACTAAAACACCTAGACTTTATAAGTTTTAAAACCCAGGGTTTCCTGTCTTTAGATTTTCATCTACTTTCAGTAATATGTCATGACTGTGCTGGTATATATGAGTCCAAACCATTTAGTATCACATATACAGCTGCTTCTCTTTTCTTTTTTGGGTAGCCGACTCACATAGCTAGTCTTTCAAATTTTCTACTCTCTAGTGACTGGTTTTGGGCCAATTGATAAATGTGATTTCTTTCCTTCTGCAGTGGTTCTATATTTTAATTCATAAGTACGTCCATGATGTTTACTAGTCAATCTTTCTAAATTTCTTTCCTTCTGATTTTGTCTATCCAAAAGATGACCATTAATACTATCCACTTTTGCCAGTCTATCATTCTGCATTTCTTTCCTAATATTTCCAGCTTTAGAGTTACAGAAATCCAATTCATTTAGTCCATTTGGAGTTACATGTGAGCATTCAATGCAGCTTCTTTTCTTTACTTTTTGGGCATCTGGCTTGCTTGGCTATTCTTCCAAATTGTCTAGTGACTTGTGGGTCTGGCCACATGACAAATATGATTTTTTTACATTTGAATGTCTATCTTAGCATCTCGTTGAAATGTTGAATGGTTCCATTTACATAAATACTGCAATTGTGGCATATTGGCACCTGTTAATGATAATATTCTCCTCATATCTTTATGTACTTGCAAATATAATGCTGACATTTTTAGTTCACACATTGTCTAGGGAGGGTGATGGCAACTGTCTTGCAACCTGTGCTGGAAGTTGCAACTAAGAAGAAACCTCCCACTAAGGAGCGGCGAGTGGTTGTGACTGGGATGGGTGTTGCAACACCACTTGGTCATGAAGTCGATGTGTTTTACGAAAACCTGCTTCAAGGTGTCAGCGGCATTACCTATATAGATGCTTTTGATTGTTCCCAGTTTCCAACAGTACGTGCCCTGTTCAATCCCCCTCCCCCTTTCAATACAAATGCTTGTGCTCTGGACCACATGTTTTGATGATTTGTATTAAATTCAGAGAATTGCTGGAGAGATAAAGTCTTTTACGACTGATGGTTGGGTTGCACCAAAACTTGCAAAGAGATTGGACAAGTTCATGCTCTACATGTTGTCTGCTGGAAAGAAGGCATTGGCTGATGCTGGAATCAATAATGATTTGATGGAAGCTGTTGATAAAAAAAAATGCGGAGTTTTGATTGGCTCAGCAATGGGTGGGATGCAGGTAATCGCTTTATTCATATTCTTTTGGTGTAATCACACAGCCTTTTGATGTAGAGGTACTTAGGTATTTTTTAAAGATATGCACTTTAACATGGTCAAACTGCAAGCACCATAAATCCACTCATCTAGGAAGTTGTACTCCCTTGGTTCCATTTTTGTTCTTCTCCATTGCTTATTACAGTACTTTTTATGCAAGTAAAGTGCATGGCTGATTTTCATTTAGAAATAAAAGAATCTTTGGAAGTGTATAAATAATAATATACAGAGTTGTTGTTATAGTTTTACTGGTATTATAGTTTCACATTACTGTTAGGTTTAAGATTTAGGCTTCCTGTTCCTACCAGATTTAGATCTGTCTTTTTTATTTATTTATATGAGAAATATAATACTTTCAAGTACTTGTGAGTTATGAAACATGAAGCTGTAAGCTCAAAGTCATATTAATGCAAGTAGTAGTCCATATTCAACATTTCAACCGAATCAATTCCAATCATACAATCATACAAGGAAATGAGTAAAACTTTTGGAACAGACTTAAAAAGGAAAGTATAAAGAACAAGTGAATCAGAGAGGGTACTATTTTCATTATTACTGTTGTTATTAATATTACTACTATTTTGTTATTATAAAAATGCGAACAGGTTTTTAGTGATGGAATGGTGGCTTTGCGGATTTCATACAAGAAGATGAATCCTTTTTGTGTACCTTTCGCTACTACTAACATGGGTTCTGCAATTCTAGCAATGGACTTGGTTAGTTAAACTATATTTTTCTTAGTGTACTTTAGTGCCAAAGAAAGAGCCTGTTTGGATTCTTTCAACTGCTTGTTTACAAATAAAATTGCAGGGTTGGATGGGGCCAAATTATTCAATTTCAACTGCATGTGCTACAAGCAACTTCTGTATATTGAGTGCTGCTAACCACATAATTAGAGGTGAAGCTGTAAGTTTCCCTGTATTACACATAAATGAGATTTGTGATTTTACGATTATATTAGTGCTGTTGAAGATATAATATTGTAGAAAACAAAACCAACTTTTCCTGGCTCTTATAACGTAGAAATGTTTATTTCTTTGGGCTGTGCAGAATGTGATGCTATGTGGTGGATCTGATGCACCTATTATACCAATTGGTAATATACCATGGTCTTGCAGTCATCAAGTTTGTTAAGCTTCCATTGTTTGTTTAGTTGTTCCATTTCTTCTTGCAGGATTGGGTGGATTTGTAGCCTGCAGGGCACTTTCTCAGAGAAACAAAGATCCTACTAAAGCTTCACGACCTTGGGACAGTGTAAGGTTCCTTTCTTCCTTTTTTATCCTTGGGGTGTTTTGGTTTTATAATCCGTGAACATTTTTTGGACTCAGAGCTACTACAGTTTACTTGTAAAGTTTTTCTGCTCTGGCTTCCTTTGCTATAAACTTTTGGGGTATGTTTGGATCTTGGAAAGTCCCAGGAAATGAAAGGGTTCAGGAAAGTTTCTTGGTCTTATGTTTTGTTTTACAATGGAAAATGCAAAGGATAATGAAATATGATAATTTTCTTTCTTTAACATATATACAGATTTCTTAGTCCTGATATGGTAGACATAAATAATTTAAACAAGTATGAACACATATCTGAATTCTTTAGTTAATTCGATGATGCTATCTTTTATTTTCCACATATTATTCCTTCAAACTTTCCATCATTTGCAATGGAGCCAAAGATTCATTATTCTTTGGCTTGAGATTATGATGGAATAAAGCAAAATGACTCACTAAACTGTCTGCGCTTTTTTGTTATGAAGCAGCAGTCAGTTCATGCAATTTTGGACGGGATTTTCACTATGGGTCACCCGGAAACAGTCTCTCCCTGCTTTAGTTCAGGGGTAAGACTGCGTACATCCGACCCCTCCCCCCTACCCCACCGTAGGTGGGAGCCTTTGCGGCACTGGGGTAAATGAAAAAATGAAAATGAATATTATTCCTTCAAAATTTCTTTTACATTTTCCTTGCTAATTTCTATCACTAGTATTTCAAAGGATCCAAACGGACCCTTGATGTTATGCATTTGATACTAGCTTTTCAATGGTTGTCATATATTGAGATCAAACTCACTATGCTTGACATGCGTTCCCTCTTGAACTGGAGAGCATTGCTGTAAGAGTGTGTGCAACTTGCGTGTGTTTGCATTAAATTTTAGAGTTGGATCACAATAACAATTTATATAGGGTCGGGATGGCTTTGTCTTGGGGGAAGGAGCTGGTGTTTTGCTGTTGGAAGAACTTGAGCATGCCAAGGTATAGTCAAAGATTCATTCCAATTTTTTTTTATAGAAAAAAATCAATAGAACCTTTCACTGGTTAGTTTATTGAAGAGTGCTTCTGATTTCATTGTTTGAATGAGCAGAGAAGAGGTGCAACTATATATGCTGAATTCTTGGGTGGAAGCTTCACCTGTGATGCATACCATGTAACTGAGCCTCATCCTGATGGTAATGGCTACAGCTGGATAACCATCATGGCAAGAAACCCTTGGATGGGTTTTTGTATATGTACTCCTATTAACTAAGTTTCTCTAATTAAACTTATAACATGTAGCTTAAGAGCCTGTTTGATAAGGGTGAATTTGGCTGAAGTTGCTTGAATCATGATAAACAATATTCAAAATATAACTGGTTGATGAAATAGTGTATATACAAATGGATCGTCTTTAACCACTGTAGCCAAACAAGTACCCCCGGTCCTATTCTTTTTTCATTTTAACCATTTCAGCCCACACCGTTAAAGAAATTAATGGTTGATAAAATAAAAAATGGCTAATAAGTAATAACTAATAAGCCAAAGAAGTTGCTATAGAATGACACTTAGCCAACTAAGATGCACATTTGGCACATACTCAAACATGCCATTTCTTTACAAGCAGGCACTGGTGTTATCCTTTGTATAAAGAAGGCCCTATCTCAGTCTGGGGTATCCAGCCAAGATGTTAACTATATCAATGCACATGCAACATCCACACCAGCTGGAGATTTGAAGGAGTACCAAGCTCTAATTCATTGTTTAGGCCACAATCCAGAGGTGACTTGTACTCTTGTAGTAGCTTTTCCCAACTTGTTGGTATTTACTGGCTTTAACTACCTATGCACATCTATTAGGTCCGTTATGAATCTGGAAAAATGCCAGGCAGAGAAAATAGATAGGATAATGTAAGGGTAACTTGGAAGGGAAGAGAATATGAGGGAAAACAAAACATTAATTCAAACTCAAAAATTTAATTCAAACTCAATAGTCATTTGCATTTCCCCTGGTAAAACCAAACCCAAGAAGGTTAGTTAACTTTTCTTAGCAACCCCCATCATTTTCTTGTATCCAAATATACCTTTAACAAAATGTGAATCCATATTTGCAGTTAAGAGTGAACTCAACAAAATCTATGATTGGTCACCTTCTAGGAGCATCTGGCGGCGTGGAGGCTGTAGCAACTGTTCAGGTGCATTTTCTAACTGATCTCACATTTACAGTAGCTATTTATCATTGCCATGTTTTTCAAGCTCGCTGATGTCGCATGTAAATTTCCTTATTTCATTTGTTTACATTTGTCACATGTGCTACCGTGCTACCTTTCTCTTCCCTGATGACCAACTTGACATCAACTGTGTAGGCAATACAATCTAACTTAAGGTGTAAAATTTAAAGAACCGTAGCTAGCATGATTTTTTTGCCAGATGAAATGGATCTTAACCTTATTTAGAACCGGTTGTGTTTGAGCTCTTAGCTACTATGTCCAAATATTAAGTCCATATACTCCTGCGTTAATTTGTTTATGGTTAGACAATTGATCTTTTTATTTTTTGGTTTTCTAGCTGAACTTGCATATTGACGGTTTCAAAATGGTCCTGCAGGCAATTCGAACTGGGTGGATACATCCAAATGTCAATCTTGAAAACCCAAGTAATGGCGTGGTATGGATCTTCTTTCCTCTGTAAATATATATTTTTGCTTTTGAAATCTCTTGGTTGAGCCGTCGAGTGATAAAAGATAATGTCTACTTATTACGTTACCAATTAGGAAGCTCTTGCCAGATCAGTAACTTGGTTTAGAGGAAATTAGTTAATGTACTAGGTTTGAGTCATCTCCAAATTGCTTCTGCCTTTGGCATCTTAAATACCTCCTATTATTAGCAGAATTGTTTATGAGAACCGAAAATCTCTTTTCCTGGGTGAGATACCTTATATTATATACTTATATTAAAAACGGAAATCAACATACCACTTGTTTTTTGTATGATTTGAGGCCCCCATTAGAGGAGCCGAGGAGGGTATATAAATTTGCAGTTCCAAACCGTCCAAATTTGTGCTTATTACATATACTAAAATATTTTTGGAATTAATACTTTCATTAGATTATGTATTCTAAAGGTCTCTCTATGCATTAAAACAGGATTTGAAGTTCCTTGTTGGCCCCAAAAAGGAAAGGCTTGACATAAAAGTAGCACTATCTAATTCCTTTGGATTTGGCGGTCAAAATTCATCAATATTATTTGCTCCTTACAAGTAGATATTTTGGAATTGTTGGCACCTATAAGTATGCATGCATATGCTCCTTTCATTGCAAAGTAGTATATATTTGATGAAATTGAGGTTGCTAGTCACTAAAAAATGTAAAGGAATCCTGATACTTGTAAATAGATTAATGTGAATGGCTCAAGTCTTGTACAACATACTGTCCCATGCTTGCTCATCCGATAGAGTACATACATATGGTGTAGACTGATTGGTACAAATATAGCGCTTATAAGGGAAATCCTCTTCTGCATTTCTAATTACACATTTAATGTTGATATCTGAAAACTTGTATTGCCAATCATTTTTCATATGGAAATTTTAATTAGGGTAGCCTCTCCAAATTCAGCAATTTTTATCTTGAGCATTCTTGAAATGGGAGTGCCCATCTACAAGATGCCATGTTGCATTTCTATCACATAGCGCAGAATTAAGGACAACTAATTAATTAAAAACGTAAAAGTAGAAAAGGAAAATTCTGAAGATTAGATTGAGCCCAATTCCCAATATCGATGTACTAAAAAAATCTGTGATGTTCCCCGTGCACTTGTTAGGTATGTGTTGTGCGTGGTGGCGCTGTGCACTTTTTGTGAGGGGTGATGCGAATCTGCCGTGCAATAGGGGTGGCTTTGGGCCGGGTCGGGCCTAGGGACTGGCCCGGGTAGCCACCGGGTCCGGGCCTGGACTCTGGTCAATTTTTTTTGCCTTTTCCTAATTAACCCCCCTATCACCCCCAAACCACCCCAAATGGCCCAAAATACCCAGCCCAACCCGAAAAGTTAAAAATAATTGAAAAAAAAAATTAAAAAGCTCGGAACCGGGCCCGAACCGGCCGGGCCGGTTCGGCTTTTGGGTGACCCGAGCCCGCATCGGGAACCCCCCGGGCCGGGCCTACCCGGACCGGTCACTGGCTGGGCCACCGGGCCGGCTCGGTTCAGCACAGTGCCGGTTCCGGGTCGGGCCACCCGGCCCAAGTCCACCCCTACCGTGCAATCGTCGTGCGGGTGTTGTGCATTTGCTCTACGCCGGGCACGCGGTGCACCTGTCGTGCGGGTATTGTGTAGGGATGGAGTCGGCCTGGGCCTGACCAAGCTTTTTTTTTGCATTTGTTGAGACCCGGAATGGGTCCGGGTAGCTATTGGGCCCGGGTCAGGCCCAAGCCGGGTTGGGCCGGGTCGGCCCGCTTACCTTATTTTTTTATTTTCTAATTACTTCCTACCCCCACCCCCAACCCATTTACCTCCCAAAGATTTTGAAAAACATTTTTTTTGGCCTGGATCGGGCCCGACCAGTTCCTTTTCTGGCGACCCGGAGCACGCCCCGAAAACTGGCGGTTTGGGTATATTACACCCAGGCAGGTCGGGTCGGTTAGTAACAGTAGCGAGCTGGGCTGGTTCCGGTTCGGTTTACCCGGCCCAAAATACCCAGCCCAACCCGAAAAGTTAAAAATAATTGAAAAAAAAAATTAAAAAGCTCGGAATCGGGCCCGAACCGGCTGGGCCGGTTCGGCCTTTGGGTGACCTGAGCCCGCACCGGGAACCCCCCCGGGCCGGGCCTACCCGGACCGGTCACTGGCTGGGCCACCGGGCCGGCTCGGTTCAGCACAGTGCCGGTTCCGGGTCGGGCCACCCGGCCCAAGTCCACCCCTACCGTGCAATCGTCGTGCGGGTGTTGTGCATTTGCTCTACGCCGGGCACGCGGTGCACCTGTCGTGCGGGTATTGTGTAGGGATGGAGTCGGCCTGGGCCTGACCAAGCTTTTTTTTTGCATTTGTTGAGACCCGGAACGGGTCCGAGTAGCTATCGGGCCCGGGTCAGGCCCAAGTCGGGTTGGGCCGGGTCGGCCCGGTTACCTTATTTTTTTTTATTTTCTAATTACTTCCTACCCCCACCCCCAACCCATTTACCTCCCAAAGATTTTGAAAAACATTTTTTTTGGCCTGGATCGGGCCCGGCCAGTTCCTTTTCTGGTGACCTGGAGCATGCCCCGAAAACTGGCGGTTTGGGTATATTACACCCAGGCAGGTCGGGCCGGTTAGTAACAGTAGCGAGCTGGGCCGGTTCCGGTTCGGTTTACCCGGCCCGAGTCCATCCCTAGTATATATTGTGTAGGGGTGGACCTAGGCCGGGCCTAGGCCCGGGTGGTTTTTTTTTTCCCAGAATGTTGGGCCCGGAACCGGTCCGGGCCGGGCCCGGTTCTATGTAATTTTTTTGGCTTTCTAATTAACCCCCGACCCCCCTCCCTCACCCCACCCCCCAAATCCCCCCAAAACACCCAGTCCTACCCAAGGAAAAGAAAAAAAATTGGAAAAAAAATTTAACCGGGCCCGGCCTGAACCGCCCGGGCCGGTTCATGAAAATCATGGCCTGGAATCGGCCCGCCAGAACCGCCTAAACCGCGCTAAAGCCTGGAACCGACCATCCGGGCCGGTTCGGTCCGGCCCAGTCCACCCCTAGTATTGTGCATCTGTTGTGCGCCCTTCGTGCTGGTGTTGTGCACCTGTCGTGCGTTTGGTGCATAAGTTTTATAAAAAAATCTGGTGCATAAGTTTTATAAAAAATTATAATATAAAATGTAAAATAAATCAATGACCGCCCGGCTCTGCCCACTAATGGCGGTTGGGACTATAGGCTGGCGGCGGTCGTCGATTAGTGATGGTGATTAATGCATGCAATTTATTATACGGAGCATCTATTACTTGGTATCAGAAAAGTGAACGTTATTTGCATTAAATTAAAACTTAAAAGAATAAATGTAATTGAGCAAATTAGAGAGTAATAAATGTGGAGTAGGTCTCCACCTATTACGAATGTGGGTATACACGTTTGTGTCATCAATCTTCGTTCATATGCTGATATACATAGGGTTTTCTCTTATAAATTATAATAATACTCCCATTCCTTAAATTAAAGTCACGCTTTCTTTAAATAGATGTTCCAAAATAAAAGTTGTACTTTCCATTTTGACAAGTTTCAGCATTTAATTTACCCTCCCATCCCTTTTCCATTAATTATCCCATCTCATCCATCTTCTCAATCGACCACGTCATTTAATTTACCGGTTGATATTCTCAACTGTATACTTCCTTTCCATTCATTATCTTCTCCACCTCCCTCCTCTGCATACTCTCTTCGTCCTCTCCGTCATTAACCACCACTTTGTCATTGGTAGTTGTCACTTGTCCATTAAAGTTTGTCCTAGCTGGTTCGTACACTAGAGCACTAATCTGGACATTTGTTGGTAATAGCCCTTGCCTTAACTTGTCTTTGCCTATATGGTTCAATTTGAAATTGTTGCCTCCCTTGTTCTACAATACTAGTTCCATTACACATTGAAAGCTTAAAAAAACTTTGTTCAATGTGCTTGGTGTAAGCTCATTGAAAGAAGTTTTTACAACTTCAATTAAACCTATAATATTCTTTGACACCTTTTGATCTTTGATTGAATCAATTGCCCTAAAGAATCTCAAGTCTAGAACATTCAAGTCTGGACTATTTGGAGGCTGTTGTTTCATCTCAATGTTCCAACCATCGTGTGTCACAATCCTGACAAAGTTAGGATCATTAACCCCTATATGAGGGTGTGCATTGTCTTGTTGTATTATGACATGCCTGTTTTCTGAATCTGGCCCCTTCCCTTTGATTTGTGAGACAACTTTGTTTAGAATCATGTCTTTGATGATTGGTTTAGTCACACTTAATATTGACTTTGTCTCTAAAGTTTCATCATGTTTGTTTTTGCTTAACGTTTTGGCCGATTCTTTATGTGTGAATGGAAATATGTCTAGTTTCCCATTCCATAAAACCTCCCCATTATCTTCTAGTCTCGACCTACCCACATCTGCTAGGAACATTATCTTTGGAATGAACTTTTTTTATTGCGCCTACCAACATCTATTCTGTATGGATCCTCTTGTGTTGGTACAATGTAGAATGTGTTTGTTTCTTTTGATAGATAAAATCACTTTTCATCAAATTGTACGTAATCATAGAAGTCATGAAAAATAGGGGTTATTGGTAGGGAATGTGAAAATATGACTTAAACTGTATTCTAACCTTTTCAACTTTCCATTATCTGTAAGGAGTGGCTTGATTGTTTGATAGCACTAGAATGCCTTTTGATTTGGATTCTTTTATACCACCTACAGATTGTAGACTTGAACACTTGCATAGGATAGCCGATAGCCTAAAGCTCTTATATATTTCTTTTGAAGCAATTGTATTTTTTTTCATTTTTTGACTGTCTAGGCAATACTTTTTATGCCTACATTACCTCTGAAGTTGCTTTCATGTTTATCGCTACACCATCATGCATATGTTTTTTGCTTTCTTCCAGATCTTGTGGACCGTTTCTCCTGTGATTTTGAATTCATTGGCTATGTTAATAGTTTTGCCCCTCTGAAGTTTTCCCTAGAGTAGACATGTTTAACAACTTCTCTATTATACGTCTTCTATCTTCTTATGTTAATTTAGGTCTTCGATGTTATGATGTTTGTCCTTCTCCCTCACTCTCTGTTTCAAACATGTTTGCAGGTGAGATGGGGACAAGGTGCCCACCCGGAGGTTGTTCCGAAGCTGTGGAAATCTCAACTGCTTCCATTTGTGTGTTGTTTGTTCAAGGCTGTTTTGTTTGTAATGAAAGACTTGTATTTATAGGAGTAGTGTGTTTAATGTAAAATTTGGAGGTATTTGTCATGTTTAGAAACTTTTAGATTCTTGTACACTCAATTTGGGAGAGAAATCCGAAAATGGACAATAAAGATCTTTAGTCATGTAATGTAGCAGAACCTATGGTTCTACAGTGCATGTAAACGACGATTCATTCGTCTTGCCCCTTACTTGTTGCTTCCTTTTCCGTTTGTACCGTGGGTATGTCTAGGTAATACAAAATTCAAAGCCATTGGGTCACAAAATGTTGGGGATCTACCTTGGGGTCTGACTTTGTTGCAGATAGCCAAATCCGATCTTGTTGATTTGGGTCGGGCGACGGTGGGCTTGGGCTAGGCAGAGTGGATTGGGGCTGGTTGGGCTGGTTGGAGTTGGTGTGCGGCAAAGATTGGGTGGCTGGAGGGGGGCGGATCTAGTTGGTCTGTGGCTGGCCATGGTGGTGACTGTGACTATGTCGGGGGAGGGGTAGTGGGGAGGTCGTCAAGAGTGGGGCGGTGTTGGCGGCAGCACTAGGGGTGGTGCGGTAGCACCGTGGTGGTGGTGGTGGTGACGGCGGAGGGATTGCGGTGCCTGCAAGGAGATGATCGAAGTTGGCATGTCATTGGGGCAGTACGTATCACCAACAACGATGTCACTGTGCTCGAAGTCACTGTGTCACCGGAATGACCATCGGAGTCATTGGGCCGGTGTCGGGGCCGGAGTCACTTTGGCCAGAGTCACTTTGGCCGAGTTCACTTTGGTCGGAGTCACTTTGGTCGGAGTCACTTTGTCCTGCTGGGGATAAATTGTGAAGTTGATCACATTTTTGGAAATATAAAAAAGAGATCACATTTTTGAAATTTGTCTTCATTTTTGTAATATTGAGGACAAAAGGCCTAATACGATGTCTATTAAGCATATTATTAAATCCATCATCATACAAGTTTATGTTAATAAGTTATGTTAATAAGTGACATTACTCATACTCATTCCGAATGTAATCCGATAATTCTTCCGAATTCATGAGTATTTCATAAAATCCGGATTATGTACTCAACACACAAAATAAGCATTCTCATATACGGTCTTAATATGGACTAGACTTAGTAATACCATAAATAAACAGCCCTAAGCCCTTAAGTATTATTATGTTCGTATGAAGGCATAGAGAAGTATCATTGCAGAGAAATTGCTATAAATAAGAGTAAAATATAGGTAAAGTGCACGTACATGACAAACTACGTTTATTTAATGTGTTATTTGGTGCTATTAAGAACATATATTTTTTTTCAATTAGAAGTATATGAGTCCTATTTAAAAAGAAAACAATTGCAGTCTTATTTAATTTGCATGCTTTATTTATATTTTAGTCATACTACATGTCTTTTCTAGTCAAAGTTTAACTATCTTTGATGACTAACTAGTTTTATGGGACAAGAAGAATCTCGCGGCGCTGCTAAACCCTAGTGAGCGTGCGTTTCGACGGTCCAGGCGAGCATCTCCGGCTGGCCTACTTCTTGAACGTGGTTTGTGCGCCGGTATAGGCGTTTGGGCGGGCGACGCTGTTTATTTGGCATTTGGGAGTCCTGATTTTGCTAGTCTCTCAGTTTGGGAGAAAATCGAAACATCGACAATTTTGGAGCTGGGTTTCTCGATGAGTTCTGCTGCAACACAGGCCACGAGGCTTCATTCTTTCGATCCTCCTTGGCCAAGCGAAGTGCAGAGGACTTCAAAAGCAAGTGGAGACTAACGCCCCTAAAAGCAGCAGGAAGGAACAACGACAAACCTATTTCTTGCATGACTGGGGAGAACCCAATCTCCTTTGTCCATCAGTTTCAACGATTTTGATCAGGTATGGCGGTAGTGAGTTGGAATTGTAGGGGTTTGGGAAATCTTGCCACTGTTCAGGTGTTGGCTGATTTAGTTCAAACAAAGAGACCGGATATATTATATTTGATGGAGACCAAATCAAATGCTGATTACTGTGAAGATATTCGGAAAAAACTTGATTTCCATTATTGTGTGTCGGTTGACAGTGTGGGCTTAAGTGGTGGTCTTTGTCTTTTCTGGAGAGAACAGGTGCATGTGGAAGTCAGAAAAATGGAGAATAATTTTATTGATTGTTCCGTTAAAATGGGGGACGATGAACCCAGTTGGCGTTACATCGGCTACTACGGCTTCCCGGAACGTAGTCGAAGATGTCAATCGTGGGATTTAATAAGAAATTTGGCTAGGGAGAGTAATGAGCCTTGGTTGATGATGGGAGATTTTAATGATGTTATGTTTGATAATGAGCGCAAGAGCAGTGTACCGCCCTCACCATGGTTACTCAGGGGTTTTCAGGAGGCAGTTTGGAGCAGTGAATTGGTTAATGTATCTTTTGAGGACTATGAGTGGACATGGGAATGGGGCAGGGGAACCCCAAGATGGATTGAGGCTAAGTTGGACCGGATCTTAGCTAACGAGGATTGGTTGACCTTATTTGGAGGACATCAATCTATGTCTTTGGAGGGTCCCACTAGTGATCACCTGATGCTTTATACCAGTCCAAAATGAGGGGGGCAACAACAGGAGGAGAAAAGTTTTCAAATTTGAAAATATGTGGGTCCATGAGAACGATTGCCGGGAAGTGATACAGAGGGCATGGAATAATTCCTCTAGGCTGCAACTTTGGCAACGATTAAATGGCTACGGTTTGGAACTCGACCAATGGAGCAAGAGCAGGAAAGTGGGCTTTCAGACCCGTATTGATGTTTGTAAAAAGCGTTTAGCTGTCCTGAGAGCGGAGGGTGGCAGATGGAATGCGGCTGAGTTTAATCGGGTCAAAGAATCCCTTGTTTATCTTCTAGAACAACAAAATATTTTCTGAAAGCAGCGGGAAAAATCCTTTTGGCTAAAGGAAGGTGATAGGAACACTAAATTCTTTCATAACGCTGTAAAACAGAGACATAGAAGAAATAAAATGAAAGGTTTGAGACTCTCAAGTGGAGAATGGGAGACAGATCGTACCAGGCTTAGGCGTATAGTGGAAGATTATTTTACAGAGATCTTCACTTCTCATGGTTACTTGTATGGATGAGTGGAGGATGGGCAACTTGTCCAAGGTGAAGCCCGAACAGAACCACGAATTAGTGAAGTCAATTACGGCTATGGAAGTTAAAGGAGCTGCTTTTGATATGCATCCTGACAAAGCTCCGGGACCGGACAAATTAAACCCAGCTTTTTTCCAACATTACTAGGAGATTGTGGGCAAAGATGTAGTGCACCTTTGTCAGAACATTATGGAGACCGACAGAGTCCCCCGCGAGGTAAATCAAACTAATTTAGTTCTTATTCCTAAAAAAGAAAAACCTGAAGGTATGGGGATGGGGGACTAGAGACCTATAACATTATGCAATGTTGTTTTTAAAATCTTTAGCAAAGTTCTGGCTAATAGACTAAAGAAAATTCTGAACGAGTTGGTCACAGTCAATCAAAGTGCTTTTGTTTCGGGTAGATCAATTATTGACAACGTTATGATAGCCTTTGAATCTTTGCATTATTTGAAAAGAAAGACCCAGGGGAAGGAGGGCTATGTCGCCTTAAAGCTTGACATGAGCAAGGCTTATGATCGAGTTGAGTGGGGTTATGTGGAAGCTATTATGCGATGTATGAATTTTGATACTAAATGGGTTGGAGTATTTTATTCCTTTCGATGATGATCTTATTGGACCCATTGCCCCTAGTTGAGGAATTCGTCAGGGGGACCCTCTATCTCCATACATTTTTATCTTAGTTGCGGAGGGTCTTAGCGCTCTTATTCGCAGACAGAAAAGCATGGGCAATATATTGGGAATTGCTGTTGCGAGAGGAGCCCCAAGAATATCTCATCTTTTCTTTGCAGATGATAGCTTTCTGTTTGTTAGGGCCAGGGAACAGGAATGTGAGGTTATTAAACACATTTTGCATACTTATGAAGGGTGTTCTGGACATATGGTGAATTACCAGAAATCTACTATTAAATTTAGTCCAAACCTGGATGAAGAGAGGTGGAAGATTGTTGGAGATTGCCTGGGAGTGAGAACGGAAGGAAACAATGCTTGTCATCTGGGCTTACCTTCTCTCATAGGAAGAAATAAGAAGGAGATTCTTAGTTATCTGAAAGAAAAAATCATTACTAGGGTGAGGAGTTGGAAAAATAAATTTCTTTCCAAGACTGGAAGAGAAATTTTGCTCAAAACTGTGATACAAGCTATGCCGACTTATGCTATGAACGTTTTCCTTCTGCCTAAGGAATTGTGTGCTGAGATCGAGGTAATCATGAATGATTACCGGTGGCGAGGGGCGGATCAAAACAGAAAAGGAATTATATGGAAAAGTTGGCAAAAACTTTGTATTCCGAAATAGAAAGGTGGATTGGGGTATAGATCTTTGAGGGAATTCAATCTAGCCATGCTGGCCAAGCAAGCTTGGAGATTAATCAAATATCCGGACTCACTTGTGGGAAGGATCTTTAAAGCAAAGTACTTCCCTAATTCTTCTTTTTTGCAGGCCAAGTTGGGGAATAATCCTTACTTCATTTGGAGCAGTATTATCCAGACGCAAGAAATGCCCGAGAAATGCATAAGGAGGAAAGTGGGCAATGGTCAGACCATTTTGGTTTGGCGTGAGCGCTGGTTACCAGGAAAAGGGTCGGGACGCGTTCAATCAAGACCTCCGGCAGGAGTGGCTAACATGAATGTAGCGGCACTGCTTAATGAGCAAGGGAATCAGTGGAATAGGGAAAGAATCAATACCATTTTTTCAGCAGAGGATAGAAGAGCTATTTTGTGTATTCCCATTAGCAGAAGGAGACCAGCAGATGGCATCTGTTGGAATGAACACAATAGAGGAACTTATACAGTAAAGAGCGGTTATAGGGTACTTGGGGGGGGGGGGGGGGTACACGAGCCAGGGGTGGATGAGATGGACGAGGACGTGGAATCTTAAAATACCACAAAAAATGAAGTGCTTTGTTTGGCAGGTGATGACGGGATGTCTACCTACGGCGAATAATCTTGCAGGCATGTGAGATAGACATTGTGTGCAAGGTTTGTGCGGAGGAGGATGAATAAGAAGATCACATATTCAGATTTTGCAGGCATGGATTTAAAAGGTGTTTTGCCTTTACGCACCAGAGGCGCAAAGGTGCAAAGGTGTACAGTTTGCGCTCCTAAGGCTTAAGCCTTAGCTTCCCGTAACAAGGCTTACGCCTTTTTTTGAAGAGGCGTAGAATCTGCTCAAGGCGGTGCGCGATAAAGAGGCGTACACCTCTTATTTAACGTAACTTGGGCTTCTTCTTTTTAAATTAGTGGGGACCTGGATTTTTCCCCCCTAAAATACCAATTACCTAGATCATTTAGGACTTAGCAACATATAAACAATCGCCGTTCCAGTCTTCTACTATAACCACAAACAAGAAACAGTTTCCGACTTCAGGAGCTCCCTGTGACTTTAGCGACATCAGCGACTTCAGCGGCATCTTTGCCACTTCATCCAGCCTCTTCCAGGTATTAACAGTATTATACAATACGTCAATACCCCAGTCCCCACCGCCCAACATCTATAATTTGTTATTGTGTATTTGTGGTTTAGTTTTTGACTTTGTATTTAACTTTGTATTTATTTACCTTTGTATTTATTTATAATCTGAGTATTTATTTATTCATCCAGCCTTTGTATTTAACTTTGTATTTATTTATAATATGAGCAGTTTTTTATTTAACTTTGTATTTATTTAAAAGTTTTTTTTAGTTAAATAGTTGTCTGTTTATTTAACTGTTTCACTTTTTACTGTTTAATTAATGTATTTGTGTCTATTTTGAATTTAAGACAAAGTTATTAATGATTTCATGAGCCTAGTGTTTTGAATTATTAAAAGTTACGTAGTATTAACTATTAAATAGTTGTCTGTTTATTTAACTTTTTTAATTGTTTAATTAATGTATTTGTGTCTGTTTTGAATTTAAAATATCTTTTGTGTTTATGTGTGATGTGTCAGATCAAATTATTAATGAATTTATGAGCCTAGTGTTTAAACAATGAAATTCTAATAAGTAATAATACAACTATCGTTTACGGATTTACCTTACTAAATACTAATTTATTTGTTAAAAATTTAATACTACGTACTTAGTAGTTTACTTTAGTCAAGATTTAATTTTAATTAGACATGTTTTAGTTAAGTTCATACAGTTTGATTATTTTTTTAAATAAACTTGATTATCAATTATTTGGTTATTTATTGTGACTAGTTTACTTAAATTCATGTAAAAAACCATTTTATTCATAGGAGTGGGCTGATTAGTCACGATGGTTAAACCCAGTAAGAATCAGGGAGAGGGGTCCAACTCAAATAAGGATAAGGATCCTGCTTCACGGCATGGAATTAAATTGAATCCTTCGGAGGGAAAGACTGGTTATGTATATGTGAAATGCAAATATTGCAATAAGGTGATCACCAGTGGAGTGAGGAGATTTAAAAAGCACCTTGCGGGAACACATAAAAATGTGGCGCCGTGCAAAAGTGTTCCCGAAAATGTTAAAAAGGATGTGCTAGCAATGTTGAAGAGCTATCAAGATCAGAAAGACGTTAACCAAAAGGTTTTTGATGAAATGGTAGATTCTGGCTTGTACTTTGGTACTGGAGTAACGGGACCTAAACCACGTGGGCCTATTGATCGCTTCGTTACTCGTCCAAGCAGTAGCTCAAGAGATGTAGCAAATGAGCAGGAAGTTGTAGAAGATGATATTCTGCCTAACAAAATGAGTAAAACTACCATGACAGAGCGACACAATCTTGTTTGTCAAGACGTGAGCAGATTTTTCTTTGAAAATGCAATAGCATTTAATGTAGCCCGTAGTCCTTCTTATTTTAATATGTTGCTTTCTGTTAGTAATTATGGTGCAGGCTTTAACCCCATCTATGCATGAGTTACAGACGTGGATCCTTAAAGCGGAATATGATACCACGAACACATATGTGGAAGAAGTGAAGAAGACATGACCGCACACCGGAGTTACAATAATGTCAGATGGGTGGAGTGACACAAGAAACTGAGGGCTTCTTAACATTCTTGTTAACAACCAACATGGTAATGTTTTCCTCAAATCAGTTGATGCATCGGATCGAGTTAAAGATGCAACTTATCTTTTTGAATTGCTCGACGAAGTAGTTGAGGAAATAGGAGAAAGTCTGGTAGTGCAAATCGTGACAGATAATGCAAGTGCATACAAAGCTACTGGGAGACTTTTAATGGAGAAGAGGAAGCACTTGTATTGGACGCCATGTGCCGCCCATTGTATTGACTTCATGCTTGAGAAGATTGGAGAGCTGCCACAGAATAAAAATGTCTTGATCAAAGCTAAGAAGGTCACTAATTTTATCTATAATCGTGAATGGGTTTTGCAGCTTATGAGGAAGTTTATCGGGAAAGACCTAGTTCATCCAGGCCCCACGAGGTTTCCTACTGCTTTCTTGAGTTTAGATTGTATGGCCACCACAAAAAATCCCCTGCAAAGAATGTTTGTTTCTAAACAGTGGACTTCAAGTCGTTATGCAAAATTAGTTGAGGGGAAGGAGGTTAAAAAGATTGTGATGGATGAGAGAACGTTTTGGCCTGGGGTTTCTTACTCAATAAAAACATCAAGGCCATTAGTTGAAGTGTTGAGGATTGTTGATGGTGATGACCCTGCAATGGGATTCATTTACGATGCTATGGATTCTGCAAAAGAAAAAATTGCAGAAAATTTTGGAAATCAATATTCCACTTATAGTGAGATTTGGAAGATAATTGATGAGAAGTGGGAGCACCAACTGTGTGACACCGTCCCCAAGAATGTTTACTTTTAGTAAATTATGTAATAAACCTTGAAGGATGATTTATGAATTTACGTAATTGTTAAATTTTATTATTTCTTTTACGTGAATAGTAAATTGCACGTGGGGCCCACAGCGGGAACGGGGACCGCCCGATAAATCCAGAACCACATATTATATTCATCTTGGTCTAGATGAGATCTATATGGTGGTGGATATTTGATATGGGCCATAGGAAGGGCATGGAGTTGACCGGTGGGTCAAACGAGGCCCAATTACCGGTATCGGTAATTTATTGGATAATGGCCCAAAATGAATTTCGGAGACTCCTAAATTAATGTTGGGGAATGTACATCTATTCTAAAAGCCCATAATTATTAGGAACGCGCGATATATTTTATTTGACCAGATAAAATAAAATATAACTAAAACAGTTCGAGAAATACAACTTTCAGGACCGATTGTACACACCGGGACTTAATGGGATGATCTCCCACATTAGTGGGGGCCACCCCACGTTTTTTAGGTACCCTAGTTGACTTAGTGAGAGCTGGAGGGGGACAAAGTGATATGCACTAATAATTAGTGGTGCATAAATGTATATTTTTATGATTGATTTGTGTGTATTGTTTACCGTTTTATTTAGTTTGTAAACATTTGTGTGATTTTAGTTGTAATCGTATTTTAATTCTCATTTATAAGTTGTAAAGTATAGTTAGGATTTGTGGTGTTGGAAAGGAAGACTTTGAAGAGAAGAAAACAAGAAATTTGACTGCCCAGGAGTGAAACCCGACCGGGTAGAAACCCCCACCCGGTCGGGTATGATTTAACAGACGAAATTGCCAAGAAAGTCACTGGACCCGGTCGGGTCCCCTACTTGACCCGGTCGGGTCAGATGTGACCCGGGACAAAACGACGTGCGAAGATCACCAGAACGTGGCGGATTATCTGATTTTGACCGGACCCGGTCGGGTAAGTACTTGACCCGGTCGGGTACCCGGCCCAAGGTGTTGAAAAACACTTATAAATAACACACTTTTTCTTCTCTAAAAATAATCCCTTCTTCCATACTCTTAAGCTCAGTTTAGAATAGCATTTCTTTATATTTTTCTAGCTATGTTTAGTCGCCAAATGAGGAGCTAAACTTCCATTCTTGGTGTTGCTCTTGAAGCTTGTTGATTATTAAAGTTGTGAGTTATTTTCTTAACTTCTTTCTTTGAATATTAATTAATAGTTCTTTCCTTAATACCATCTCTATATTAATGTTGGGGAGTGTTGCTAAGATGACAATTAGTTAACATCTCGACATTAGTTAGAATGGTATTTTCTTCCTCTATATTAATGTTGGGGAGTGTTGCTAAGATGACAAATAGTTAACATCTTGATATTAATTATAGTAGGATTCATCTTCTTTAATAATATTCTTCCTTGAATATTAATTAATTCCTACTCTTATTTCATATTAATATTTTGAACATTACTTAAAGGATCAACTAGTTTTGTTTCATATATTAATTATTACTAGAAACGATCAACGAACCGATGGTTAATCGTTGATGGTTTCACAAGTAAGTAACTTCGGTTTATTAATGCACGGTCGTTGTTAATAAACTTAAGAGGGATTAATTTTGTTGGTTAAACCGAAACCGCTTGTGTTAAGGTTATCAATCTCAATTGATTTCATCAAGGAGTTAGAAAGATTAAATGCTACTATTAAATCGGTATAAGGCGTTGTTCTATATTTGATTAATAGTAAGGGTTATTAGTGAACGGTCGTTGTGAATAACTACCCTCGATGAAGTGGATATACTCCCCGATTGAGTATTCGAGAGGGAATAAGTTATAGATATAACAATGATCGACTAAAATATATCAACAAGTGGAAAGTAGCAATGCCAAGTCCTTTTTATCTTTGAATTAAACACATATAGGTTGTTCGTCTTAGTTCTTAATTAAATCAAATCACTCAATCCAAATCCTCCCCTTTTTATTTACTAAGTATCATAAAAAGATAATTATTCCTTTCCCTGTGGATACGAACTCTACTACGCTATACTACGTATAAGTGTTGTATTGATTAATTATTTTGAGTGCACCTCACGACAAGTGCACATCACAAATCAATGTGATTGTGCGGACAAATGAATGTGAGGATGGTTGAGGACAAACCACACCTCCCATTGTCCTACTCATGTATTATTTCTCAACATTGATTGAGATGATATCCTCTCCCCTTCATTCTTGAGCCATACGAATCAGCACTAGAGAGGAAGTTCAAGGAGAACCAAAGCTCTCAAAGACTAAGTTGGAGGGATAAAGAAGCTAGGAAAATCCAAGAGGAATTTAGCTAGAAGAAAGGTAAGAACACAACCATTTCTTTAGCTAGTTTATTTGTGTACGATTTTTAATAAATCATATGGTGGATTAAACATGATGTTCTACACGTTTAAAAGTGTATAATATTGATATCGAATGGTGGTATTTAACTTAGAAGAGTTGTGGAATCGATAGGAGTCGAAACCGACAGAAAACCGCCATTGTTGGGGACTGTTTTCGAGCTGCAGGCCCGAAAGCCGCCCACCTTTCACGAAAGCCGCCCGGCTTTCACTTGATTTCCAGATTTTTCACTCTTGAACGGCCTAGAACGAGGACGGATCGAGGGGGTTTCGCTAAGGCAGCTAGTTGAGCACATCATAAGGTGAGGATGACTGACTATATTGCTTATAATTAGTGAGTTCATTTCATGAGATTACCTAAGGTAATTAAATATGTTTTTATGGATTATTAATGGTTAATAATGCCTAAGAATGAGAAGACTAATGTCTATAAAGAAAAGGAGCATGATATACAAATTTAAGAGTAAATTGTGTATGATCATGTGTTATGAGTATGTTGACTTGAAAGTGGAATTAATTATGAAACATATGTTGAAATATACTTTTTACTTCATATTAGAATATATGAGTGATTAAAAGTGATATTTTGAATATTGAGATAAAGGATATTTTCAATGGAAAAATGAGTTGGAAATGTCTATATGACTATGAGTTTAGAACTTGGTTTGTTGGAATTAATTTGGCTAGTATTAAGATACTAGTTGGACATTAAAAATGAAATGTTGTTAAGATTGATCCTAAGGTTGAATTGTGAAATGTTATGCCTTAATTAGTCTTAAGAGATGCTTTAAGGTAGGAAAGTATGAACTTTAAGTTATACTAGGGGTAGGCCTTAAGGGATACCCCAGATAAAGTAAATAATAAATTGATCCTATATATAGGATTGGCCTACGGGTGTGTTTGGTAGTCCTTGAGGATAGCCGGTTGAATTATGGAAACAAGTAAGGACCATGGCCCTTCCCGACTCTAGAGAGCGGGGTTGGATAGCATGGACTTGCATCGTGATCACGGGTTAGGGTGGAATCCGAATCGGAGACCTAACTAGGTTTCGGTAGTGGTAACACATAAGATAGGACCCCGAAGGGCCTTACCTTCCTACGGGATGATGAGTATGAGTCCAAGGGCGGGATGTTGGAGTCCGAACCGAGAGCTTCATGAGGTCTCGGACAGCGGTAGCAAGTCCCGTAGAAATAATAAGACCCAAGGGTTGGGTTGTGCAAATGATAAATGAAAAGGAATATATAAGAAGGGCCGTGTGCCGACAAATAAATGAATTTACTTATTATAAAGATAATAAGTGGGAAATATAAATTATTATTTATATTATGATAACACCCTACTTTGAGGGTCTTGGAAATTAAAACGTTAATAATACTTAGTATAGTTGTCATTGTACTTGTCAAACGCTTCCAAGTACTGACCTCCCCTTCACGGGGGAGGTCACCTCACTGTTTCAGGTAGAACTTGAAGGTTTGTACCATCACCCGTTGCACCGGGAGGATCAAGAGAAGAAGACGTGGTTCATGCTTCTTCTGTTTTCTGATTTCAAAACAATTATAACAATGCTCATGGAATATTATTTTCTGAACCATTATTTGGGGGCTTGTATGCCTAATTATGCCAAGTGTGGCTTGTACATTCGTACTAAATGTTTTCCGCTACCTTAATAAATGTTTTTACTTTATGTTTGTTTATGGATGTACTATGTGTGAATGGTATTCAAGACGCCTTGTATGGTATGGATGAGTTGGACTGCGGTTGACTATTCGTACTGTACGGCGGGTTGTTGACGTGTCCGGGTAGGTCCGGGGCGTGACAATTTAATTGGTAACAGAGCCTTAGTCCGTAAACATCATAATGAATCTTCAAAATTCTTTTGAAATGAATTTGAAAACCATGAGCATAAAGTTTTGTATTTATAGAACTTTTGGTACTTGAGTTGCAATGTCTCTAATTGTTAAGAAGGTACCCTTAACAATTGGTATGGCGGTGATTTGAGCCAAAGGATGTCTTTCAGTGCCTATCCGTCAATTGACATTTGATACAAGTCTAATGACTCATTCGCAATTTCTTTCAGAAATGGAACGTACCGGTAGAATCACTTGAAGGAACCCGACTGGCCAGGCACCGGGGAGGTCCCAACATGGCAGTCGTGGGACATCGAGGGTGTCTCGGGGGCAGGGCCGTGCAGGCCACTCGCTGACCGTAAGTGACGGTCATGTTGAAACAATTGATGAGCATTATGAGTCCGAGGAGGATTCAACGTACCGACCGGGAACGGAGCCGGTTGAAACCCCATATGATGGGGAAGATGATGACATTAGCGAGGAGAGCGACGATAACGACGCTCTTGAACGGATTGAGGAATTGCTCCGGAAATATCATCAAGATTGCCAAAGGCTCCGGACAAGGCGTGCTTTGGGAGGAACTTCGAGGAGAGGGACCCGTGTGAGTACTAGGGGAAGCATAGAACCCCAAGGAGGGCGATGTGTCGAGGTTCCGATCATAAGAATCTCGAAGTACCTCAAAGAGGCAAGAGACTTGGGATGTAAACCGTTTGATGGAACATGGGACATCTCCGTGGCGGCCGAGTGGATCAAAAGATTCAACGAAGCGGCCCTGGATATGCAGCAGCCACCAAACATGAAGATGAGGGTGGAAACAAGATTGCTAGAAGGCATGGCGTCCACGTGGTGGGACGGAGTCAAGGGGAAGTACGACGAGGCTGTCACTTGGGAGAATTTCCGACAGGAGTTCTTTAGCCAATACTACTCCGACTTCGAGGTGAACTTGAAGAGGAGGGAGTACACTAATTTGACCCAAGGAGGTGAATGCACGGTGAAGGAACTTGAGCACAAATTTAGAAAGCTTGCTGAGTTCATACCGAAGTACATTTGTGATGAAAACCAGATGGTGAACCACTTCTGGGATGCCTTGGACCTTGACATACGCGAGAGGGCAACACAATTGCCTAATATGACGTTTAGTCAAGTGGTTGAACAAGGCTTGAAAGGGGAGAAAGAGTGGGAAGAGAGAAAAAGGAAAAACGCCGAGGAGGCAAAGAAAAGGAAATGGGAGAGCAATGGCCCCCAAGGTTCTAACAAAAAGGGGAACCACGGGGGAGGCGGATCTTTTAGAACCCCTGCACCACCGTTGAAGGGAAATCAAGGCCCAAGCGGGCAAAGCTCGTTGTCACAAGGCTCAGGCATGAAGAGGTACAACAATTTCAAGAAGAACCACTTTGGCAAGTGCCGCGATCCCCCGAGGTGTTATCAATGCAGGGAGGTCGGGCATTTGAAAGTGAGTTTCCCACAACTCGGACGAGCCATGGGTGCCGGGCCGAGTAGTGGGACGACATTGAGCAGGAACCGGACGGGAGTACCCAATGCAAGCATGGGACATGGTGGAGCGAGTACAAGCAACGTGCCATCCGTGAATCAAGGCAAGACCCAAGCTAGGGTCTACGCGATGACGGAGGCGGATGCTCGTGCTAACCCGGACTCCGTTGCGGGTAATTTCATAACTCATTGCGTTGACTTCATTATATGTATTAAATTCAAGAGGTTGCGTGAAAAAAAAAACGAACCTCGCCAAATTGTGCCGGTTTTGAGTAAAGAAGGCGGAGTGAAAGATCGCCCTGGGCGAATGCCGCCCGGTTTTTGCCAAAGCCGCCCAGCCTTGGGTTGATTTTATTATAAAAATCTACGGCGACGGATACCGGTCGGCTTTCACCAAA